GGGATGGGGATGGGGGGAGGGGAAGCATTTGGAGCATCAGCCAGCTCCGCTCCTCCCAGGCCCTCTCTCCAGACTACATACTCGTGCACTCACATTCTTCCACACGCATGCATGCTGGTAGGCACACACGTTTACACATGCGTGCATATGTGTGTGCACACTCACACATAAACACACAAATGCAGATTTGCAACACAGGTACACACATGCACACACACGCACCTTCATGTGTGCACTCACACAAATTCACATGTGCGCTTACATGTGTATACAAGCACACTTACGTGCACAGCCACATGTGCACACGTGATCACATGGCGCTCCCCCATAGCCCCTCGTGCACACGTGGTAGTGTCGGCCTCTCCAGAACACCGGGGCGGGGGGTGAGCTGAGGGGCTGAGCATGAAGCCTCTAGAGGCTCAGCCCCCACCTGGGTCTGACCGGAGCAAGTGGTGGGCGGCTGGCACCATGGCCACCTCTGGCCATTTCTGAGCCTGAATCTCACTGCCTCCCTGGCCGTGGTTCGCACAGCAGGCCTGATGTCACCTGGGCAGCGGCGTGTTTGGATTTGAGGTCTGTGGGTGTGTGCTGAGGGTGATGTGCCTGAGGTCTTCTCTGGACAGGTGTGGGCATAGCCCTGTGCTGTGCCAGCTCAGAGCGGACTTAGCCTCCTGGAGGCCTCACTGTCCAGTGCCCTCAATTCAGAACCGTCCTGTCGAGGGGCCGGATGTGTCTGTCAGAAGGTGGGCAGGACCACAGGACAAATATGGGAAGGGGGGAGGGCTCTGCATCACCCATCTGGTTTCAGTCACAGTTGGCATCTGCTGTGGGACCTTCCCCGACCCTACCCCCAGCCCCACTGCTGTGCAGGGAACCGCTGGGTTTGAGGCTGCACGGACCCCAGTGGGCTGTTGTGACTGGGGTCAACTCCTGAGCTGGGTGTTAGGACATCGTTGGTCAATCAGCCATCACCCCTGGACCCCACTCTCCCCGAGCCCCTTATCTGTGGGCTGTCCCTCCACAGGGGACTTTGGGGACTTGCTGTCTGGCTTCCCTATGGAGACACGGTCCTCTGGGTCCCGCAGCCTCGGTTGGCCTCTGAGAAGCAGACATGGCACTGTGGTCTCAAAGCAGAGGGACTCAGGCGTGCCAGGGACAAGCAGCGTAGAGATTCTCATGCAGGAAGCCGACGGGAGAGCCAACACTGCTCGCTGTCCAGAGGTGTCAGGGCCCTGGACCCTGGGTCTTGGCCACTGCTCACAGCCTGGGAGCAGGCCAGCGCCTGGTGCCCCCCCTCCTCCTGCCTGGCTCGCACCCACTGTGCCTGTCTCCCCCAGAGGTCGGACCCACAGCTGCTCGCCCAGTTCTACTATGCCGACGAGGAGCTGAACCAGGTGGCCGCCGAGCTGGACAGCCTGGACGGGCGGAAGGACCCTCAGCGGTGCACACTGCTCGTCAGCCAGTTCCGCTCCTGCCAGGTGAGTGCGCAGGGCCCGTCCTGGGCGACAAGGCCTGGATGCCATTGAATGTCAGGAAGAGGACCTGGCATGTTTGCTGTGCAACCACCCCTCTGGTGTGCTCCTGCCCTTTGTGGCAACCTCTGTTTCCACCTGGCGTCATTTTCCTTCTGCCTAAAACTTTCTTTAGCGTTTCCTGTAGCGCAGGTTGACTGGTCGTGAATTCTTTTAGCCTCTGCTTGAATGAAAAAGTGTTTTACCTTCAGTTTTGGAAGATGTGTTTGCTTGGTTTAGAACTATAACTTGTTCACCATTTCCCCCCTCAATGCGTTACAGGTTCGTTCCACTCTCTTCTCACCGGCATTGTTTACAGTGAGAAATGTGACGTCGTTCTTGTCTTTGTCCCGTCAGTGAATGAAGGGGAGCCTGCTGTCGCCCTTGGCGGCACCTGTTCTGGCGGCCAGGCAGGGTGGGAGCGCGTCCAGGCACCACCACTCGAAGGTCACAGACAGGCCCCCTCGACAAGCTCAGAGCTCTGGCTCTTTTTTTAAAATTTCTCCCACCTCCACCCCCCGCCTTTGACAACCATTGGTTTGTTCTCTGTATCTGTGGGTCTGTTTCTGTTCTGTTTTGTCTATTGGTTTTGCTTTTTAGATTCCGCATCTAAGTGAAATCATATGGTATTCATTTCTCTCTGCCTGATTTCACTTAGCATAATACCCGCTAGGTCCATCCACGTTGTTGCAGATGTTAAGATTTCATTCTTTTTTGTTTGTTAATCCTTGCCTGAGGATATTTTTTCCATTGATTTTTAGAGAGAGGAAGGAGAGAGAGAGAGAGAGGGAGGGAGAAACATTGATGTGAAAGAGACACATCGACAGGTTGCCTCCTGCACGCGCCCAACAGGGGCTGGGGATCAGACCTGCAACCCAGATACATGCCCTTGACGGGGAATCGAACCCGTGACCCTTCGGTACGAAAGCCGACGCTCTCACCACTGAGCCACACCAGCCAGGGCAAGATTTCCTTCTCTCGATGGCCGAGTGATACCTCATTGTGTGTACGCACCACCTCTCTGTACCACTTGCCTGCCGATGGGCACTTCGGTTGCTTTCCTCTCCTTGCTGTTGCGGGTGATGCAGCCGTGAACGTGGGGCGCACACACCTTTTCCATTGGTGTTTTGTTCTCTGGACCCCTGGCTGTCACCACGAGCTGACATTTACTGAGCAGTAACTGCTGTTCCCGCCGTCGTCTGTTCATTACTCTGTTGACTCATGAGAAAGGGACCGTCCCACCCATAAAACCTTTTAAAAAGAAACTCACAGTAGTACCCCTCAGTGTTGCCTGAGTTTTGTTCTGGGCGTTGTAGAAGCTGGTGCTTTCTGTGTGGTGCCGTCTCTCCAGAGTTTAGTGAGTTGCTCTGTACCCCGAAAGTCCGAGCCTCCCACCTGTGGTGATTGTGCCCACCGCTCCCTAAGAGAAACAAGATGAGCCCGCAGGGTGGGAGGGAGGGACCAGAGATTTAGCTTTGCGGAGGGTGAGGGTGTGGACCGGTGCTGCTACCTTTCAGGAGAGCAGCCTGCAGCTTGTAATCAGGCGTAAGTGCTGGTTACACTCTTGACCTCGTAGTGCCTGTTCTCGAAGGGAGGGGACCTGGGAAAATGGCCCCAGACCCAGGTCACGCACCACGACTGGCGAGGAGTTAGACACCTCGCAGACGCCCAGCCGGACAGGGCACCGGGAGTGAAGGGGCGGCCAGAGGCTCGAACCTCGGGTGGCTGCCGTCACAAGGCAGATTTGTGAAGCGTTATCACAACACGTCCGAGCAGTTCAGCAGCCGAAGAGCACGGGGTCATAGGTGCCCACACGGGAAGGGCCCGGCCGGCTGAAGCAGGCCCCGGAGAACAGAATGGGGGGTGCCGCCCGCGGTCCTCCCCAGGGCATCCTCGAGTCTCTGCCTCCCCGCTCTCCCAGTTTTCCCGTGGGGCGTGTGCGTTAGGTTTATCTTTGACGAGTTAAAGAAAGAAAACGCAAACTTCGGCGTTCCTGTATCCTACAGCAGGAATGGCAGGCGTTTCAAGAACAGAACAATTTTAAAGAAGAGAACAGAATGGAATTCGAGAGGCAATAAAAACAATCCTGCTACCCTTTTATACGCAGAGTGTTCAAAACAGTTTGCTGTCCTTTGTACCTTGAACAGGAGGAAAATGTAAAATAATTTTGGAGCCTTTAAAACGAGTTACCATTATTTTGCGGCGAGCCGGGGCGGAGCCGTCCTCCTGGCAGCCGGGAGCCACGGTTGGTCTTCCTTTTACAGCCTCGAAGGATCGGAGCCCGGAGGCCTGTCCCCGGCGGCACAGCCAGCTTGCAGGCCTGAGGGGTCGCTGTGTCCCCGGAGCAGGGTGGGGCCTCTTCGCTGTGTACGTGCCGCCGGGACAGACCGGCTTGGGCCGGCTGGGCTTGGGGCTGGGTAGATGCGCTACTGTATCACTTCATCACCTGTTACTTTGTTGCTGGTTGGTGCCTGGTGCCTGCTGCAGCAGTAGTGCAGCATCTTCCCTGTTTCAGGACAACGTGCTGAACATCATTAACCAGATCATGGACGTGTGCATCCCCCAGGATCGCGCCCCCAGGGACTTCTGCGTCAAGTTCCCCGAGGAGATCCGGCACGACAACCTGGCGGGCCAGCTGTGGTTTGGCGCCGAGGTAGCGGCCGCCACCTGGGCCCGGGTCACGGCGTTGGCTTTGCCCAGCCGTTGCTCTCTGAGGCCCGGTCAGCCCCGGGGCAAGGCCCTGACGTGGCGTCTGGTGCTCCTGTGGGCTGGGTGGGGCAGGGACGGGTGGCCCACATCCTGGGGCTGCGTTGGCCCTCCCGCCGGCCTGTCTCTGGGCTCACATGAGAACATTTGTGATCTCGGCCGTGACTGCTCTGAACTAAGAGAAACCCGGGGAGCAGGTGCCTGAATCCTAGAAGCGCCTGCCCCAGAGTGAGCAGAGGCCACGGGTTCCTGGGAGAGAGGACTTGAGGGGAGTCTTGGGGGTGATGGCCATGCCCCAGCCTGACCACCACCCTTCCACCTTCCTGTTCCCTGTGTGCCCAGCTTTGGGGGCAGCAGTCCTCTCATGGGGATGGGCCTTTCCCAGTGTTGGTTGATCCAGTCGGAGCTCCTGCTCTGTGCTCTGTGCAGGCTGAAGGGGCGGGGGTGGGGCCCTGAAGCCTGGGACGCGGTGAGGCTGGTTGGGCCCCACGGTAGGGCCCCACGGGGGTGGGCACGAGGCGGTAACTCCTGAGTGCTGGCCGCCGCTGAGCCACCGCCTCTGCCCACAGTGCCTGGCGGCCGGCTCCATCATCATGAACCGGGAGCTGGAGAGCATGGCCATGCGGCCGCTGGCCAAGGAGCTGACCCGCAGCCTGGAGGAGGTGCGGGGCGCCCTCCGCGACCAGGCGCTGCGGGACCTCAACACCTACACAGAGAAGATGCGGGAGGCTCTGCGGCACTTCGACGTCCTGTTTGCCGAGTTCGAGCTGAGGTGACCCCGAGGGCCCCGCGCGTGTGCCGTGGGCATGGGGGTTGCGGCCTTGGCTCTGTGGGGAGGGGCGTGCCTGCTCTGCCGGGCTTTTCTGGTACTTCCGGCTAGAAAATTCTACAGAGGGAGGGGCCACGGCTGGTTCAGGGATGTCTGCAGGTGTAGTCACCCCGCGGGATGGGGCTGTCGACCTCTGGAAGGAAACCCACTCGGACGTTAAAGACCTTCCTCCCTAGGAAGGGGGGAGGTTGAGTTTCATCTTCTTGTCTTCCCAGATATCCCGAAGGAGCTTTCATAACAAGGAAAAATTAGTGATTTAGAAGGAAAGGGAAATGTTCTCACCTGGGGAGGGGCTGGAGGACCTGCACCTTCTCTCACCCACTCAGCAAACGTCCCACCTGGTGTGGCTCCCCAGCCGCCGAGATAGGCCTGCGGTTGGGTTCGGGGGCGTCGTTCATCCGTTTGGTCCCTTGCTCACATTGTCAGGGCTGGTGCCCAGGCAGGGGACGGTCCCAGAGGTGGGCAGTGACAGTTCCAGGGTGGTCAGGGTCAAGAGGGCCAGGGTGGCGCTGGAAGGGGCCTGGCCCGGGAGCGGCTCTGATCTGACCGAGTGGTCAGGCTGGCAGCTGTGGATTGACACGGCTGCTGAGATGGGTGTTGAGTCCTCGATCTAGTTTGGTTTCGTCTAAGACGCCGGAGGGCAGCGCTCGCTCACTCAGCGTGTTTGCAGCTACGTCTCGGCCATGGTGCCCGTGAAGTCCCCCCGGGAGTACTATGTGCAGCAGGAGGTCATCGTGCTGTTCTGCGAGACGGTGGAGAGGTGAGCGGCCCGTGGCCGACGCCGGGCTCCGGGCCCGGGGCAGGGGCAGCCCCGGGGACCACACCTTGTCACGGGGGTGCCCAGCAGGACGGCGCCAGCCCCCTTCCCCTGCCCTGTCCTGTTCCTTGGGTGGGCAGTCCCTTGACGCCCCGTCCCCACAGCTGCAGCCCCCTCCGCAGCCCCCCCGCCCCTGTTCTCTCCTCTGGGTCGAGGGCAGATCCTGCAGCTGAAGTTCGTGTGACAGAAAATTCACGTGATGGAGGACAGAGCCGCCCAGGCTCGGCCGCGAGGAGCTGGACTCCTCACGCCTCGCGCCCCCACCTGATGTCCT